AGGGGATGGTGAAACGAGGATGTTCCGTTCTTGTAGTCTCTGATATATTTTCTACCTCTGCAACTCCCAATGCCTTCCAGTCCATCAAGATGATCACCATTTCTTAATGAAGTTGCAGTTTATGGTTTGGTGGAATAGCTTTGACTGGCAGCAGGAAGAGATATGCTGCCTGGGTGTTGTTGTGAAACTGCTTTCGTTTCCTTTTAGGATTTCTTATGTCTTGTAACTGAAATTGTTGGAATTATTTTGAAAATTGCTTAGCTGCATCCATATTGATATTGCATTTTCAATTACGAGATGATATGGAGATGTGAGATTAATGACTTAGATTGCACAAATTATTTTGATGACAATAAGAACATCTTATATAATTTTAATTCTGCAATTACATCGATGTGGATGCTTTTAGACGTAAAAGAATGGACAAAAATATTTTGTGATACTCAAACAAGCCCTACAAAAATACATGAGTTATCGACATAGCAAAGATGAGACACAATAGGTTAAGTTCACCTAATGCGAATCCTTTGAAAGAAACCAGGGGTAACTTATTGCGTAATTAGTCTGAAGAAACCATCCGTAAAACTAAAAATAGCAACAAAAATCGCTCTCGGCCCCCTCTCTAAGCCCAAGTAAGGAAAAACTGTTGAGCATGTACAAACATGGGGTCAACCCTTGAGATTTTTTCAGAAATAGCACTGTTTAAAAAAAAAATTCCAAAAATAGCACCCAACTCCGAAAAATTCCAAAAATAGCACCATTTTTGTAAAACCGCAACCCGGAGGTGCGTTTTTCGATGAAAACGCCACCCGAGGGCGCGTTTTTCGATGAAAACCGCACTGGTAGGGAGCGGTTTTGCAAACCGCACCCCCAGGGTGCGATCTGTCTTTTTTTTTTTTTTTTTTGCAAACCGCACCCCCAGGGTGCAATCTGCCTTTTTTTTTTTTTTTTGAAAAATCCTAATTTAGGTGGAAACTTCAAACGAACGTATCTTTATGTTCGGGTATCCGATCGTCGCGATTTTTTTTGTTGATTCCGCATAACTTTTTTAGATCTTGCAAGCCGAAGACTGCCAAAGGTGGTTTGGTCTCGCCTTCGTCCCAAAAAATGTCGTTTGCTACCCTGAACGAACTTTTTTATGATTTCGTCAAACTTTGGACAATCATAACTTTGTGCTCCAAAATCCAAACGACATGAATTTTTTTTTTTTATTTCACATAAATTATTAAGGAATACAACTTTTATCATAGACATAATTTCAAAATGTATGTGGATTGCTGAGAAGGGAAGATAAGCTATTCCCAAAATCCTGTATATCCAAAAATAATTCCTGTTTTGAAAATACATTCCTAGTAAAAATTATAGTCCTTAAAAAGTTAAGCGAAATAAAAAAAATCATGCCGTTACGGTTGTCCAAAGTTTGACGAAATCGGAAAAAAGCTCGTTCGGGGTAGCAAACGACATCTCAAAAAGTTATGCGGAATCAAAAAAAAATTGCGACGATCGGATACCCGAACATAAAAATACGTTCGTTTGAAGTTTCCACCTAAATTAGGATTTTCAAAAAAAAAAAAAAGGCAGATCGCACCCTGGGGGTGCGGTTTGCAAAAAAAAAAAAAAAAAGCCATATCGCACCCTGGGGGTGCGGTTTGCAAAACTGCTCCCTACCAGTGCGGTTTTCATCGAAAAACGCGCCCTCGGGTGGCGTTTTCATCGAAAAACGCACCTCCGGGTTGCGGTTTTACAAAAATGGTGCTATTTTTGGAATTTTTCGGAGTTGGGTGCTATTTTTGGAATTTTTTTTTAAACAGTGCTATTTCTGGAAAAATCTCTCAATCCTTCTTACCCTAGTGCTTGTGAATCTTCCATAGCAAACATGCCCTTGTGAATTTCATTTGATTAAATAAGAGACGACAGATTCGTATTATGGGCAACAAACTTGGGCATCGAGAATAACAAGTTTGGCCTATCGACTTCTTCCACGCCTCTAATAATATTGCCTTGATGTCTATTGCCTAGCAGAGGTGACCACTTGAAAGTAAGCCATATTTTATATTTTCCCTTTATGAAGCCATTTAAGTCAAAATTTAAAAATCCTCTCTCGCTGAGGAGCTCTCTGGAGTTCCTTGATTATTCTAGCTGAATTAGGATAGAAGCCTTCAGACCAATCAACCGAAGTATATTTGGCTGAAATTTTTTAGAAGTGCTTATGTTAGGTAAAATGACTAAAAAGGATTTATAATGGAAATATAAATATAAATTCTAAATAATAAAAAATAGTCAAAATGGATCTTGTTATATTTATTTTATATTAAATAATGATCTTATAATTCATTTTATTTTTAAAATAATATAAATTAAAAAAAATTATAGTTTCTGAAATAAAAATAAAATATGATAAGTATAATCTTGAATTTTTAAAAGAGCTTTTTGCTATGTTATACAAAAACTTTTCAGCTTTTTAAAAGCCAAGTTTTTAGAAGTGTTTGGCCATACTTCATCTTTTGAAACTAAAAACATACATTTAAAAGTCGGGCCAAACATATGAATGGATTTTAAAAACCGAGTATAAATGGGATAGATTGAACTATCTCTTGGGTTCAGAAAATTGATTGGGGAGATTTTGCTATGGCATTTTAATCCGTCACTTATGAAAATGAAAATGTTTCTTAGAGACGATGAAATAGGAATACAGGCTGGAATTAGGGATTACAGTTTGTAAACAAAAGGGAAGGGAAGGTTGAGAAACAGAGATGAGATGGAGAAGACGATGGGAAAGAGTTTTTCTTTTCCTTCAACTTTTGATCGTCTTTCTTATCTCAACTAAATGGCCCAAAAGTGAAGCAAAGGCCCAAAAACGTTTAACAGTGAAATGAAATAAAAGAACGGACTTTAGGCCATTAAGCCCAACTTTTTAAATGATATGCAGGATATGAAATTAAAAGCACATGTTCTTGTTTCGAAACCCAGAAAGAAAACAGAGCAGAGGAAGAAAACAAACAATGATAGACAGAATGAAAATGACACACCAAATTTAACGAGGTTCCCCAAACTACGGGTCAGTCCTCGTCCTAGAATCAGTACCCACTGATTTCTAGGAGACTCTTTTTTTTAGTTTTCCCTATCAAGCAATCGATCAAAGACACAAGACATAAACGGACTCGAGAAATTGAAAAGAAACTCTGAACAGCAAAACCCGGATCCCAAACCAGACCCGTTACACCGTCAATCAAACAGATCCTATGCCTCTGTTCTGATTAACCCACTAAGTTGATAGCCCTGTACCGCTCCTTACTCAGTTGCTAAGCACAAGGAAAAGAACTAATATATATAGACTCAAGGAGCATCCAAGTAGCCGTTTGAGAAGATACAGCAGATTTGACAACCTTCCAAGTATCACTCGCTTGATTCCTGCTTTCCATTTGTGGCCGAGTCAATTTCTGCATTACAGCCAAACAATCTTGCATAATTGATTCGCAATTCTGATTTTTTATCTTTCCAAATTCGTCCAACAATCTCCCCCTAAATCAGAGATTGCGAATTGATAGCTGCAACACAAGTCCAAATGCAATTCCCAATATTCTATTGAAATGAATGAGTACTAAAGCATGCACATATCGAAACCCAAAAATCACCATCCAAACCCGTCTATAGTCATAAACAGGAGAAATTCTAGTCTATGTTCTCCCCCTGAAAGCAAGCATCATCCAATCCAATCCAATCACAAGAGCTACAGGGAATAGGGATGGCAACAAAACCCGAACCCATGGGTACCCGCCCGATCCAACCCGGTCAACGCGGGTAAAACCCGTGTTGATGGGGTTTGGGCCGGGTTCGGGTTTAAACCCGATACACTATTCACTGGGTCGGGTTGGGTTTGGGCTTAGGTAAATTCGCCCCATGGGTACCCGCCCACACACATTTAATTATTTTTTCGGTATATTTAATATTCTAAATAATATATCTTTCTTAAACAACTAATATTCTTTATGTTTGTGGAGACATGTAGAATTTGTTCTTTCTAATTCTTTAGAATGAAGTTGATATTATGAAGTGGAGAGCGAAGAAACTTAGTTGAAGAGGAAGAAACTTTCAATTAATCTTATTGTTTATAGATGTTTATCTTTAATTTTGAACAATTTGTATTGATCATTTGCGGTTTGCTTGTATGCTCTAGATTGGTATTTTTTGTATGAGAAAATTGATGTTAAACTTTTATTTTGAAAGAAATTTGTTATTGTAAATTTTTTACCACAAAAACCCACGGATACCCATGAACCCGTGGATACCCAACGAGTTGGGTTGGGTTTGAGTTGGGTTGGGGCGGGTTTTGTCAAACCCAAACCTGCCCCAACCCGACCCATTGCCATCCCTAACAGGGAAGGAGAAAAGGCAATTAAATGACGACACTCATATGATGAATCCATTACAAGAGATAAAACAAGTGGAAAATAAAGGCAAGCACGCACAAAATGCATTTCCAACATAATATTGAAAATAAGCATACTAAAGCATGCAAATCCAAACTCCTAATCACATCCAAGCTAGACAGAATCACCGGGAAGAGTCAGAAACCTCATTTAGAATTGCAGCAACATGGAGTAATATCTCCCCCTCAATTTGCAATCATATATTTAATCTACAATAAGAATCAAGTGCATCTATAAAGGTCAATTAACTCATAACTCATAGACCAGGCAAACGATATGGATCTGTTCAATGCCAAGAGTTTTAAAACAATATAGGAACATAAACATCAATTCAGGAAGGAAACTTCTATCCAAGCGATGGGAGCTCCTACCGACAAGAAACCAAAGGCTTCCTTCAGCTCCCACAAACGAAAGATCAAATTAATTAATTTGTTTTCTGAAACTATATATATAATATTCCAATGCAATTAATTAATTAATTAATTTCTGGGTGATTGATTGAAGAATGACAGTGGCAAGGAAGATATACTGTCACGGTTTCTGGTGGAGAGTGAGAAAGACCCAGACACCATGAACGACCGATACCTGAGGGACATAATTCTCAACTTCATGATCGCCGGGAAAGACACCAGCGCCGGCACGCTGTCTTGGTTCTTCTACATGCTCTCCAAGAAACCTCTTGTCCAACACAAATTAGCGCGTGAAGTCGACGAGGTGGCCGGCGGCAATAATAATAATAATAATAATGCAGTACTAGATGGAACTACTGGTATTGTTCACGACTTCATTCAAGGCATAACCGACACGACACTGGACAAAATGCCATACCTGCACGCTGCACTTACGGAGACCCTCAGGCTCTACCCTGCTGTCCCAATAGTACGTAACGTAACGAATCAATTTCCATTTCCATATATAATAAAATTAGTAATATGCATGCATATGGTGCGCCCCATATCTTAATATAATAATAATAATAATAATAATAATAATAATAATAATAATAATAATAATAATAATAATAATAATAATAATAATAATAATAATAATAATAATAATAGTGGTGACCTGATCTGACCTGCCAATTGCTATGCAGGACGGTAGGTGTTCGGAAGCGGATGATATTCTGCCGGACGGGACGAGGGTGAAGAAGGGGGACTTGGTCAACTACTTGGCCTACTCCATGGGTAGAATGAGCTACATTTGGGGGGATGACGCACAAGATTTCAGGCCCGAAAGATGGCTCAACGACGACGGAGCTTTCCAACCACAGTCTCCCTTCAAATTTGTCGCATTTCACGTAATATACTAATATGTATCTATATATCTTGTTCGCCGGACGGCCCATTCACTTGTTTGTTTCTTTCTTTCTTATTGAAGGAAGGAAGGAAGGATATGTGATAATTACTTAATACAGTTTTGATGGTGCTGCTGCAGGGTGGTCCTAGGATATGCTTAGGCAGAGACTTCGCTTATCGGCAGATGAAGATCATTGCGGTGGCGCTGCTTCGCTACTTCCGATTCCAACTGGGAGGCCATGATAATGTGACTTACAAGACTATGTTTACCCTTCACATCCATGGAGGTCTCTATCTCTGTGCCACTCCAAGGCCCGCACCCTGACAGACTGACACATTATAATATATTATTGTCGCTGTCGTCTATGTTTTATTTATATCCTAATGCTACCTAAAACCGTTCAAGTTAAGGAAAAAGGGACCGCGAGCTCAAACTTACCTTCTTCTCGTCTACTACTATTGGCCAGCCTTTATGAAAATTGAAACCCATTAACTTCCTTTCTATACTCTACCTGCTTTCTCATTTGCTTCACATTAACTGTTGTTTAATTTCTTCCTCAGATTCTAATTATATTAAAGACATCATTATAATATATTTTTGGCCAAATACACCTGTATAGTCAAAACTTTGACGGTTTTGTCAAATATAGCTAATTTTGGAGAAATACCAAAAATAGCCAGAATTTTGAAAGTTGGATGACAATTATAGCCATTTCCGTTACATAGTTTGACGGCGTCAGTGACACAGTTAATCTAATTAACTTAACGATGATCTGGCTGCCAACTCACCGGACACATCATCGACTACTCACCAACATTTGCCACATGTATGCCATGTCATATTTTAATTTAAAAATAAATGAAAAATCATTATATGAAAAATCATAAAAAAACAATAATTAAATTATTCCCACCATCTTCGTCGCCCACCCCAATCACTACCACTACCAAATTCTCACCAACATCAGCACCGCCGATATTGGGATCGGATTTCCGGCGTCTCCATCGAACTGCTCGCCATCCTTCAACCTTTACCCCTAAACGGAGATAGATGGGGAATAACAATTCCCCCCCCCCCCCCCCCCCTATTCCCACCTTCATCCCCTCTTCTACGAAAATCCCCAATTTAAAAACCCTAGCCCCGTCGAGAGCAACCCCAATCCGCCGTCGCGACCATGTCTCACGAACAACTGGTTCTCCACGACATCATTAGATTCCGGGTTGCCATCATCTTCGCCAGGGACAGAGGAAACCAAGCCAATAGATTTCGACAACAACAACGTCGGTGAAGGAGACGAAGCGACATAGAAGTGAGGTCGGAGATGGAAATATGCTCATTGTAGATTTGGCCCTCAATTTTAATGGGTGCTTCACATCTGGCCACCAAGTTTCACCACCAATCGAGAGCTGGAAGTTGTTGGAGAAGTCACCATCATCGTCCTTTAGAAGATCTTCCAACAACAGAATCGATATGTAACATCGACGCAGTCCTTAAGAAAAGGGTTTCGCGGTGGTGGGTTCGTCGATCTGGATGAGTTTGTCTGTTGACGGAGAAAGTGGGTTCGTTCGTCAGGATATAATGAAAGGTCGTTGCTCGTCGTATTTCGAAGATCTGAATCCTGGATCTCTTGCTCCTCGTCAAGCAGAACCACCGGGAACAACCACCGTCGCAGCATTCGCCTCCTCCTTAGTGAGGACCAACACCGGCAAGGGAGATTCTAAGGTTGGAATTGCGATGAGGATTGCGATGAAGATGAGGAATTTTTGGAGATTGCGATGGCAGAGGGAGATTTTCGGTGGAGTGAGGGATTTTTTCTTGTTTCTACTATTATGAAAGTGTTAATTGTTTTTATTTATTTCTTATTTAGTTTGATTAAAATAAAGGATAAACTTTTGATTGTTTTCCACCTAATATTACTTTTGATAAAATATGCCATCTGCTACTGTTAGTCAGCACGTTAACTAACACTGTCAAACAATTAGACAGAAGTGCCAGATCGTCTTGTATGGAAAGGTTGAAGCTCCAGGGTAGAGATTCTCCACATTCGCCTTATACATCAATTTCACCGTGAAGCCCTTAGCAGGCTCGGGTTTCCATACAACACGAGCTGCTCTTCTATCTAGTAGTAATACCACTAGCCATGAACCTGGAGGTCCCAGGTTCGAGTCTCTTCAGTAGTATCTAATAACAAAAAAGCAACCTATATCACCCTTATCTAAAAAAAAAAAAACAATTAGATAGAAGTGGCTATTTTTGGTATTTCGCCAAAAGTGGCTATATTTGGCAAAACTGTCAAAGTTTTGGCGACACAAGTGTGTTTGACCTATATTTTTTTCTTACATTTGCCAAAATTTTATGTTTTGGGTTGCTATGCATGACCTAATTTAGGTAAAACTCCATAGCTCAATCATATATCCATTGATCTGGGAAAACAAAAAATCCACAATCTGATTCATACCTTGACTTGCTGGGGGTGTGTGAACCATAACATGAGGGCCTGGTTAACAGACTCAGATGGAGCCTCCTCAACCTAACTAATAGATTTTGTTGGATCCACCATAACTTGTCCACTTGCTCCACATATGCACTTTTCACAACTCATGAGCCATCACCCTCCCCTAGATTCATCACCATAGCTGCCTTTCCTGTTTCCACATCAGAAATTTTCTCCATCTCCTGCTTCTTGTAACTTGCCAAACTCTCTTGCCCAAACCCCTTTCTGGAACTGAACAATCATGGCCAAAGCATTTACACTTCAAGCATTTCAGGGGAAGGTTACAATATTCCAACCCAACCCACAGATTGGACATCCCATCGTGTTTCATATCAAGCTGGGTAATCAATTCTTTTGTAGCAGAGATGTCTACACACAAACCTTCACTAAATCTAGCTTTGTACCCCTTAATCCTTATAGTTGGTAAGTCCATGTTTCCCAACTAAATTTGCAATCTGAACTAAACCTTCCTTATCAGCAAACTCCGTAGGAAGATTTGAAATATGTAGCCAGACTAGACTCACTGAGTTATCAATTGGAAGCATCTGAAAACCTGACTCCTTTTTCCTCAGAAACACCATGTTTTTCTTATGATGCCAGGGATGGCCTTCGAAAACCGAGCAACATACTACTGTCGATGAAAATTGGAATAATACTAACTGATTCCCAATCCATATAACTTGAACCTCACCTTCTTTACCCCACAACCAGTTAGCCTAGAACCTAATCATCGAAATCGATGCCGGTCGCGATTGGAATTTACCAACTAAGATGTGCTCCCATCTTTCGGCGGCTTCTTTTAATAACAGACATAGAGATTCCAAGCGCACCATCAATAAATTCTGGCTCCTAGTAGTCTAATATGTTGTCTGGAGAGATGCCAAAGAGATAAGCCTACGAGCTACCGCCACCGACGGCACGTGGCTGGTTCCGTTAGCGGCGACCGCCATTTCTTTTTGGAAGTCGATGGATAACTATAGTAAATCCTAGTCTGGTTGTGTTTGGTTATTCTGGCAACATGGGTTGAATGCTATTAAATTGGATGACGGGTAGCATTTCTTAAAATACATGTTGAAGGCAAGTTTAGATTAGTTTTAATATTTGTATATACCCCGAATAAGGACCATGAAAGAATCAATTTGTACAATGAGCTATTAGTTCACCAGGAGCACTTGCATGTGACTCGTCCCGAATATCACAATAAAACTCCCGGTTAAAGCCCAAGTATAAACCTTAATTGGATGCAATATAGGCAAATATGTTTATATATCAACACGGGCGGGTCCAAGTACCCCTACTTTGATTGTTTGAAACATTATCTAGGGATTGGTTTTTGGTGATAATGACAAGCTATAGATAAAAAGTTTGGAAAAGTAAATGGATTTGACACTAGCTAGCCCTAGCTAGCAATTATGACTTGTCAGATCGAATGGTAACGTGAGGTACGGAGGTTGTAAACCTTAGGGAAGTGCAATGACACGCCAAAACACAACACCAAACTGCGACCAAATGAAATCGCAGTCCGGGAATGCAGTAACAGGCAAGTTATATTATCAACCCGGGGTCTAGATCTACTGCTTACTCCATGATTCTCTATTATCTAGCAAACTAATTCGAGTGATTGTTGTTTAAAAGCAAAAGCAGTAAGAAAGCAGTAAACTGTTCGGTTTTCTAAAGCAGGAAAGAGTCACTCGGGATTGAGTCCCCCTATCCCCTTAGTTAGGTTCAATTGTAATTCCCCTGGGTTGATTCACTGTTGATTAAACTGCGGAAGTTCCGACAGTAGCTTGGAATCTCTTAAGCTGACCAAGCCCTCTCAGTCTAACTACTCGGCAGACGACTAGTCTTCACCGAGATAGAAAGCTGAGGCTATGAACACAGAACTCCACTACTGGAATTGAATTTCAGTACAAAGCAGTAAACTGGCTAACTCTCGTATAGCCAATCTCCTACTATCGAATGAAGAAGCTCTAACAACCTAATCAGATTCTATCTATCTCAGGTTGCAGCAGAAATTGAGAAAAGCTGATCAGACTCAAATCAATTCAATAAACATGCATCATTCGATTAAAATCAAACAGTAATATCATCCCAAGTCATTACAATCAAATCCCTAACACAAGGAACTAGGGTTCTTCATACCCAAGTGAGAGAAGGGTTCTACTCCATAGAGAGAGAAGAGAAAACAGTAATCGGAGTAGTCATACTCATAATGATGAGGAAAATCTGCTCCGGGATGATGATTTCCACTCCTATGATGATCTCCAAGCTCGATTCGATGAAACCCAGCTCCAAGATAGCTTATAGGATGTGTTCTTCGCACTTTCTCTCTCTAGGGCTCTGTTTTTGCTCTGAAAATCCGATTCTCCCACTTTTGGCTCGGAATTGGCTCTAAAACCAGAATTTCCCGACCCGCATGGGCGGGCCACACGGCCGTGTGACTCACCCACTTGGCCGTGCGGCTCAAAACGTAGCGTACCATTAAGTTCAAACTTCAGCAACCTCACACGGCCAGGGTTGCACGGCCGTGTGAGAATCCCAGTCTGCCCGTGTTTGCTCTCGGTGGAAATCACACGGCCAGGGTTGCTCAGTTGCACGGCCGTGTGAGAATTCCAGCTGCCCGTGTTTGGCCTCGCACAATCCCACACGGCCTGTCTTGTCACTTGCACGGCCGTGTGATGCTACGGTCTGCCCGTGCAGCTTCCTTAGAACCTCGCCATGCGTCCGATCTTCGTCCAATCGACCCCAGACTCGCTCCCAAGCCTCCATTCACGTACTAGGACCTGAAATATCATAAACGAGCACAACCTAGCATGAAATCGGCCTAAAACACGAGAATCAACACCTCAAACAGTGTAAGAACGAGGGTAAAAACATGTGTAAATAACGGTCTATCAAACTCCCCCACACTTAACCGTTTGCTTGTCCCCAAGCAAAC